GGTGAGATATGAAACAAAGAATAATGATAATAATAATGTCCAAATTCAAAAAGAATATTTAAACATAATTAAAAAATTCATAGAAGAATACTTGGTGGTGAATAATTAAAAAAACAAAAATAAAAAAAAAAATAATAAAAAAATAAAAATTATATGCATTAATATAGCATAATTAATATTAATATAATGAAATAAAAGGCTATCGTGGCACTATTATATCATAATAATTTTTTTTTTTATAATAATAATTATTCATCTTTTTATTTAACTGGTATAAATAATAATGAAGAATGGATATATTTTATTACTTGTTTGAAACAAGATTATATATAAGATTTACGTACTTAAAGTTTTTAACAATGATTAATAAGTACATTGAGTTCAAAATAAAATCAGGTTTTTAAAAGTGTTAATCACACTTTACGGCTTTCTTTTTCCACAGGTTAATTATGAAAAATTTGCGAATATAATATTTTTTTTATTACTAAATTAATAAATTATGCAATTAGGAGATACACATTAGGAGAAAAAAGGCAAGTGTGATCAAATTTTCTCAATTTTTTAAACTGCACCTTGAAACAAAGGAAAATAATTTAATTTACGTTTTGAGCATTGTAATTCACTATATTATTAAATCATTTATACACTATGTATGCTTATCATTAAAAGAACTAGTTTGAAAAACATATTCGAAATTTAATATTTGCACATAATGACATGTTATATAACTTTAGTACCAATTGTTTGGAAGAAATTTTGTGAATATGATTCATGATTAATATTTAATATGCTGACTGTCAGTTAAGGACTTTATTTATACAACATTAAAAAATTTCATAGTTTTATAATGGCAAAGAATACTTAAGAATACATTAATTTAATAATTCATTTGAAAATTTTATGTTTGCATTTAACTTTCTGTAAAATCTAATTTACAACTATAAAAAGACAGCATCCAAAGAGTTAAAATATATGGCTGTGCTTGTTTTCAAACAAGCTTAAAAATAATAATGTTTTTTTCCAAGAAAATAGCAGCCTTTCGGAACTACTTTTTTTACGAACTTTCACTTCTATGAAATCTCCCTTTGACTTTAAAATATCAAATATAATCTTATTCAAGCATGTTAAGCACGACTTTAGAAATAAATAAGATATCCATAGAGCTATTGTGATGTTTAGCAAGAAATACTGGGATTCTAAAGATTTATTTTACGGAACATGAAAGTTTCTACCCTATTAAGAAATATAAGAATATAGCTTTGACAAAATTTTATCACTACATTATATTATTAACACAAGAAACAATTTTTAAAAAATCCAAAACTTAAATGCATTAAATGACGGTTATTCTATACCTCGGGGGATGCCATTTAATTCCATAGCGTGGGTCAGTACTCTTTAAAAAAAAAAAAAAAAAAAAAAAACGTTAATTTACATAATTTCTGACATATACCGTATTATTCATATTCGATTCGAAATAATTTTTAGAAAATTTTCCTCTTAATGATAAAAACCATCGCTAAAATTTGTTTAAGCTCCATTATTTACACGATGAATTCCAATAACTACGTATAATAATATTTCGAGTATTGGTAATTAATTTAATGATTATATCTGTCGAGGAGTGTACTTGCATAAATTTCATCTATAAATGCATTAGTATAAATTAACTAATATAAATTACTGATACGTGGGTGAGATATTTAATTTTTTTCTTTCAACCTTTAACAGTTTAATTACATATTATTCTTTTTATTGTTCAAAGTAATAAATCTCACTTCGGCTTTCTGTATATTTATTTAATTAATAAGAAAAAAAATAATTAGTCTCTTTACTACACAATCATACTCATTAAGAGCGGTATAATTCAAAGAGTTTAGCATAAGATTTGCAGTGACTGCAACTACTCAATAAAACTTTTAAAAATTTTAAATTAATACTTTTAATTTCTATGATAAATTTCACGTAAACGGATTTCATATAAAATTTATGGGATATACTTTTTCAATTCAATAGCTGCCGTTTATAACGCATAATGGATATTCACTCGTAGACTACGAACAAAATTTGTCAAAAATAGCAAAAAACAAAAAAAAAAAAAAAAAAAAAAATTTTAACTCTGCTAACAGTGTTAAGTTTAAAAAAAAAACTTAATATTTATTTGCCAATAAATATTGGGAAATATAAAGAGATTATTTATCATTTCTCTCATAATATTCATTCAAGTGTCGAAAAAAAGGTTTTTCTTTTTTTTTTTTTTTTTTTTTTTTTTTTGTTGCAATTATATCAATTCTCTCTCTAAAATTGTATGCTTCTGTTCTGGATAAATTCCTTAAGTTTATTAAACATTTTGATTTTTCTTAATTTTCTTACCGAAAATCTTGACATAATAAAACTTCCCCTTTTATAATGTTTTACAATAATAATTACTATGAATACGATATAATATAGGTAATACACAAAATTTTAAAAATACTGTGCTTTCATATCATGTTATGGTAATGAGGAAAATCATATTGTTCGTCACTTTAAAAATACTAAATTTAGATGAAAAACAAAATATGCAAATTAAAGCTATTGCCATACGGTCCACCCATTATTTCCTTCATTTTCCAAGCATACGCAATCGCATTACCGTTTCATGACAGTAATTTTTAATGCAATTTTCTCTTGCTATATAGAACACGTTTTTTTATTTCCCTTTTCCCTCACAGCTTCTGCACAGATAAAAGTCGTCAAGGCGTTATGCACTTATATGCGCTCGCGCTTTAACCTTTAATACGTCGCTTTTAAGGGCTCTTTGCTTGTAAAACGAGACTTGCATGTACTTTAGTACATTTTTTTTTTTTTTTTTTTTAAGGCCATACAAATCGAGGATTGTTGATTTTAAATTAGAAAAAGAGGAGGGAAAAATGATAATGCTTATGTTACCTGAACTTAATAACATGCAAAAGTAGGTGTTGCTTGAATTTAATGCTTAGAATGGCTCGAATGTTGTGAGAAAAAAATTTGTTGAATTTTATTCAATTCTTTATTATTCAACCTAAAATAGTTGTTAAAACATTGATAATAAAGCTTTTTTTTTTTTTTTTTTTTTTATTTATTTACATGCATTATTTATTTCCTTATTGTTGTAAAAATTTACAAGATAAGACGTAATATTTCATAGCTCTCTCGTTTGGTCGTATTTTATATCGTAATTTGAATTAAAATGAATCCTTACTATTTGGGTTTATTGAATTTTGTAAAGTACATTTTATTAATATTATAATATTTTCCTTCGTATATAATAATTTATTTTTTCTTTTCACGAATTAAAAGATTCAAATGAAAATTTCATCAGCTCATTAGAGATTATAAAAAAACATTACACTCCTGATGCTTAATGCTCAATACAAATACGTTAATTAGTGTATTTGTAATTTGTTTCAAAAAGTGCACATACTACTTTATACAGTTAAGCGACTATTATATTAAAAAATAAAATATTAATGAATGTACTAATGGTAAAATTAATTAATTTTCACCCTTTAAGCCGTAACTTTTGAAGTCTACAATTCCTCTATTATAAAAATAATTATCTTAATAAGATAACCAAAAATAAATCGACAAATCGATGGCTCATAAATGACTCTTTAATATCTATAAAATTGTTTTATTATTTGCAAAAGTTCAATTGTAAATATTACTTAAGTATGGAATAAATGTCGATATTATGTAGAAAATGCTTTTATTTTAAAATGCGAAAATTAAAAATTACATCAAATTAAAATCCTGTAATTTAAAAAAAAAAAAAAAAAAAAAAATTTACAAAATCTTCTATTTATTACATTTTATTTAGTTTCTTCTAAAAGGTAATGACGTTTCAACATTATTCGGAAACGACACAATTTGCTTGGAAAGGAATTAAAATATGCATCAATAATATTTCAAATTAAGGCTACGCGAGACTAATAATTCCTTTTCCAATAGCTTATTAATTCCGTATGTTACTTTTATGTTTAATCATTTACGATTGTTTAAATTTGGAATTTGGATTGATGTAACAAATTTTGATGAAGCATTATTAAATTCGATGACAAGATTTGCATTACCATCAATTTTATATTAAATCAATCTCAAAGATAATTCAAAATTGAATAAATGACTAGAGAGAGGAGGTTTCAATTTAACTTCTCGCTCCCTACGAAATATATAATTGCCATGAAAAAATTCATACAGATTGTAATCGATATTGTAGATTTGAATTGCAACTTGTGTCTCGCATATCCGTCTCCATTTAATTATTTTATTTATTTTTTGTAAAGTAAAGGGCTTAAGTCTAAACATTTATTCGCGACTATGAGTATGAAAAGATAGTTTGCCAGAACACAGGATGAAAGTTCAATATCGTAATTAAAATACGTAGACATAAATGTATAAACATTATAAAAATACACATCTACTGTGATAGTAAAATAAAGATAATTTTTTATGTGCCAGTAGATGATGAGTAAACAATGACGTGAGACAGAGAATGATGCTTTAGTGTCGAAGTTAAA